TGTGTGTGTGTGTGTGAGTGTAGGGGAACCTGTGCAGATAAGTCTTGTGCTATGCCTTTTTAAGGAGGGAGACGTGGACAGAGAGGCAGAGGGAGAGAAAGAGTGGAAGGGAGAAGCAGAGACAAAGTGGAGATGTAATGGTTTACACAAAAAGCAATGTCTGACAGTTATATTGGCCATGATTGCTTAATAGCTGTTTCCATGGTCAGGCTGTTGATGTTGAAAGAACAATGACGCAAAAAAAAGAATCACCAGAAAGTACCGTGTGTGTTATTACAGTAGGAGGGTCAGTGACTGGAAGTGGTTCTTCTTGCGGAGTGATGGACTCGAAAGTTGGGCATCATGTCAACACGTGTTCTTGCAAAATAGCACGAGTATAAAAACAGTTAAGCTTTTTGCAGGATCCATGACGCATGGGAATTTGTAACTTTAGCGTGTGAAACACACACTGAACACCCTCTTTCTGACAATACCACAGACGCACATGGTCGGAGAGGAAACAGTGATCGGCTAATTTAATCCTGCTTGTTTATGGGGCGCCAGAATGTTGACATTGTACAGTCTATTTTTAGAGCCACTTACCCCTAATGCTTCAGAGGAGAGACTAAGTGAAGAAAATCATTCCAAAATGAAATCTTCCTCATTAAAAAAAACAGTACTAAAACATGTTGGAGCCTCCAAAGTAATCGCATCCAGTGAGTTGATCACTGTTAAGGCTTTCGCTATTAGTTTGTAAAAACTCTTGATCCTTGATTTGATTGTTTTAGTGACACCCAGGATGATACAGTTTATCTCTGTGTGTTTGCACAAAGCAAATCCCACTTTTCTGTTTACTTAGTAACTGAACCATGATCACGACAACTGGGGATTTGGAAAATTTGTTTCTTTCTTCATTTGTTTTGTGAACTTTTATAGAGGATGGCTCGCTTGACCGCTTTCAGAGGAATAAAAAGTCCTGCAAAAAGCATGAGACGTGCAGAAAAAACACATAATTCCAGTGTTTATTAAAGTGTCAGTATTTGCCCAGTCTCTTCATTTGGATAACATTTAGAATTATAGTTGCTAACATATAGTTGTTAGCATTTTTCAAATTGTCTAAATGCCCCCATGTTGATCTATGTTTATGTGTCATTGCTGGACTACGTCAGAGCTCAGAGACGAAGCAGAGAAACACACTTTGAAAAGTCTATTGTTTGCTTTCTTGGGATAAATTGATTTTTTTATACTATTTATAGTGCTGGTCAGTCAACATTTGCTACAGACATTCCTGGTTCCCAGAGGATGAACCCAATGACTTTAGTGATCCACTGACTCTTCCTCTAGCACTGCCTTGAAGCCAAAATTCCAATTAGTTGGTGAACATGGTAAACCAGCTAAACATCAGCATAGCATTGTCACTGGAAGGCTGCTGCTAACATGGCTGTTGACTCCCAAGCCTCATTTATACTTTGGTGAATGTGACTTTTATCCTCATGGTTCTGCCATACTGAGGTATTTGGCACAACAACCAATTCAAATAAAATATCAAAAGGTGTTCAGTTCCACAGAAATCTCAAGATGACTAAAAAGGACTTGGCAGGGTTCAGTTAACTCTGCTCAAGGATGATGAGCTCAGTTCATCTGCACTTGTAGTAAACAACAACTCGCGAAGAAAGAGTGAAAATCTTCCCTTTAAAGGTAACATTTACAAAATTCTCCAGTGTTACTAATCAAGCACAACAATCACAAGGAGTCCAAATCCATTTGAGACAGTTTGTTGGCTATTTGGCAGAACATACTTTGAAATATTTTGATAGAATCCCCCACATGGTATGTGAAAAATCTAATTAAAAAAACAAGCAAGCGTACGTATCCTGTGAAAACATTTTTCAAGCTGCTGGCGTCATGTTTCATTTATCAGAAATGGTGCGTTCTGATTCAGCCTCTGTGTTTTCAGAATCATTTCGGTATGAACTGTAGCACATGTTTGCCATTGCTTATGCCATGAACCATGAAAGCAGGGGTGTAGACACAGGTCACGGCTCCCTGCCAGAAGCCAACAGTTATGTTTTTTGTTTTTTTTTCACCAAAAGTGGTCCACATTGAAGTGTTTATTACAACAAGAAAACATCATAGGAAAGAAATGCTGCAGCAAAGCTTCTGATCAGCAGTAGAAGAGACTTCTTTGCACTGGTTACTTGTTAGAGTGGATTTTTGTTTGTTGTTGCTGTAAAACACTTTGTAACTTTATTCCAAAATATTCTCACTGGGGCCACTGCTAGATTATTGTCATTACAGATAAATCTTAATCATAAAATAAATAAATTTCAATAATTAATCGTTTGCTTTATAAATATATCAGGAAATAGATGTCTTTTTAAGATGTTTTATTTTACTATTATGGAAAAGTTTAACATTTAAGAAGCTGGAATCAGGTAATCTT